AAATTCAAGAAATTGTTTTATGAGAATTGTAAAAAAAATTACCACAAAGGATTCTTGAAAATGTTCGAATTAGTCCAAGAAGATATTTTGAAACCGCAACATCATAGATGAAAGTGCTTTGAAATTCCATGAACACAATTCCATGAACACAAAAGCTTGACTGATAAATTTTCCACTGTCCATATAAATGAGATATTCCATATTTTTGCTGTACCCTCTTCCGAAGTTGATTTATTTTCAAAATTTACGATGATTATTTTAATGAGATATTACATATCTTCGATGTACCGTACCCCCTTCCCGACCTTTTAATCCTGGCGACTTATAACGTCGTTGCCGAGTGGATGGATTAAAACAGGTCTTAGGCAGGGAAGGAGGGTGCAAAATTTATTTATTAATAATTAGACAGAGCAGTCATGAAAGCGTGCACGAAAAGTTGTGCTTCACGATTATATGTTAGGGAAAATCTTGCAAAGTAAATCCGTAAAATGTTTCAATTTAGGGACAGAGGGAAGTCTTAGAAATTACTATTGGTTTATGAAATAGGTCGAGTGATTCCCAAGAAGATTAAAGGGAAAAATGTCCTGCTTTAAATTAATGCATAGTTGAGCCAAAAATAGATTTAAGGACAGGATGTGAATTTAAAAGTGTGAGAAGGCATTTCAATTAGAATAATTAATAAGGATGAAGTTTTATAACAAAGAAACTAACATAAAAAGATTAATTGAAGCTTTTTATGTTACATCCCCCCTCGCCAATAATGTACAATCCATAATTTTAAAAAATTTTCCATTTGCAAAATCTTCCCTCTGATTGAAGCACTTTTAAGATAATCAAATTTGTAATTTTAACAATATATAATAGTAATTTGAATTATAAAACATTTTCATATATTNCATTATTTTATTAAATAATCAAACAATTATCAATATAATTTTCTCATCTTAATCACAGGACAGGTAAAAAGAATTCCATTGAAGGAAAAGCTACTATACCTCATAAAAACGTTCCTGCAAAGTTGAAAGTAAAATATAATACCAGTAAGTATAAAATTTTGAGCTCTCTCACGATTTTTCATTTTCCAGAGTTTGAATAAAAATTCGCGTTTTAGGTAAACATTTTATTCTGAAAGTTAAATAAGGAAGAATTATGAGGAAAATATTTAATAAAAGAAAATTACAAGCTTAATTGTCAAAGTAATTAATAATGAAGCAATTTTTTACTTGTTTCATTTTCTCCTTTAACTGAATTTTCTTACATGACGATAAAAACAACTTTGGCAAGATTTTGCTACTAACATAACAGATGAAATACCTCAAATTGCATCTGGAGGTTGGTCTATGATTCATTATAGCTAAATTCTAGTCTTTATTATTGAAGTAATCTGTAGTGATAAGCAAAAAATTCTAATATCGTGAGAAATTTGTTTTTTAATAATAAAAAAACTCGCTACTTTCTCTTAGCCCATTAACGGCCACTGTCCTCAATTGAGGACAGTCCCTAAAACATTATGTAAAGTTTTTATTTTTAATTTAAAAATGCTTTTCTTTCTTGGGAAGATAGTTGGAAGCACTATCAACATATCTCCATATTTTTAATAAATGTAGTGCTATATTTGGTTTGTTATTAGAATCGCCATTTTGTGATTTTTCTAGCCTCACACAAACCTCTTCTATTTTTGTATTGTCCTATCAAATAAAATTGTGGCAAATTATTTCGTTTATTACAGTTTCACAAATACAGTTTCACAAATACAGTCATTTATTACAGTTTCACAAACTTTAAAGCATAGGAGCATAGTTCAATATATAGCGCTAAACAAATTTGTTTCCTACTGTTCCTTTTCTTTTTATGTAACATTATATTTTATTGTCCTCAATTGAGTACACTGAGCGTTTCAGGTAAACTTTAAAGAATTTTTCAGAATTTGTTTTTATTCATTTAATTATGCATACGAGTTTGTATTTTTATAGAGTAAGTGAACTATAAAAATGAATGGAGGAAAACAGAGGCACTAAGAAAATATTCAAGGGCAGTGCCAGGGCCGAAAGAAAAGAGGAAGGCCGGTCAAAAGATGGTTTGACGAGGTGGAAAAAGACCTTAAGACTCTAAAAGTCCGAAACTGGAAGCAAAGAGCTAGAGACAGACGACTTTGGAGGAAAATTGTTAGTGAGGCCATGGTCCAATATGGACAGGGAGTTAGTTAGTTAGTTAGAACTATAAAAATAGCAGACATTTTTTAAATTTTATTTCCGTTTTTTTAGGAAATTATTTCATCTTGTACGTGTTTTTCAAATTTTCGTAATTTTCTTCAAAAATTCAATGCAATACCATTCCCTGTAAATTTCTTACAGCAGAGGAAGCTCAGGAATATTTGTTTTTAGAACAAATTATGGAAGATATCATTTCAATTCCTCCTGAGGTTAATGAGTAGGATTCGGATGGAATGACCCTAAATCAGTTACTATTACAGCGAATACCGAAAAAAACTCTTTTAAGGGGGGGGCAAACAATGCGGTGGTGCAAAGTATAAAATTAGAGAGTATCTGTGTCTGAATCAAAATTCATGCGTAAATACAACACTTTCATGGGTGATGGGGATCAACATGACTGGTTCTTAAGCAAACTGTATCAATAAGAGGAAAAAATGGTATTGGTGTTTATTTACAAGAATGATAAACATGTCAGTAGTGAATGCTTGCATTTTGTATAAAACTCGTCACGAAAAAGAGAGTAAGAAGCAGATTTCAATACGAACTCCTCTAGTCATTCGTCTGGACCAGTGGCGGTGACTATGGTAACGAGGTACAACTATTTCAAGTAGGTGTGGGGTCACTGTTTAGTACAGGTTTTGGATCGCGTCAACGAGAGAAAGGGAATATTTTTCTTCGGTTCATTTTGTAAAGCTTAGAGTGAAGAAAAGCTATAAAACTGAAACGCGCTATTCTTGTTTCCATAGTAACAGACGGCCTCAGACTTTCTGGCGGGGGGGGGGGGGGGTTTTNGGGGAGTTCTTACCGTAGACAAACTATAAGAAATGCAACGTAACTTTAAGCATACTTTGTTTTCCAAAGTTTCATAGTAAATAGAGCAACTATTTAGTATGCACTTCAGCGTATTTTTTAAATGCTTTCACACTGAATGTTTTATATATTTTTAATTGTTTTGTGTGCTTAGGTATTTTATATATGCTTTGCTAAATATACTAAATATTTATACGTAAAATAAAATTACGTGGTATTATTAATTTACTTTCATTGGTTATTTTCATATTAATCCTTTTTTCTAATTCAAAAATCAAGAAAATAATACTAATAATAATGTTCACAAACATTATCAGAAGTCTAACTTTAGATTTATTTTTAAGGAATGATGCAATTTATGTCTATTCTAAACAAAAAATAAATAAATAAACATTTAATATAAGAACTAACCACAATATTTGCATGTTAATCCAAAAGTGATAATTTTTTCACTGGAATGCCCAGTGTCCTCAAATGAGGACGGGCTATAATTTAAAAACTAATTCAAAATATGCTTAAATTTTAAGTTTTAATCTCTTATTCGGTCACAATAAATAAGATTTGAAAGATTCATTGAAATATATTTAGTAGAAATAATTTGGGCTTTAATGGGTTAAAGTACGCAACAAATTAATTGGAAAATTTTTATATTTAAATATTTCGAATTTTGGTTTACGCATACAATAATAAACTAAATATAACTTTTAGAGTTTATGTTTGATTTTTTATTTCAACCCAACTGATTATTATTAATATTTTTTATAATTGCATGCTTATCATTAAAAGTCAAAAACAGAAGGTACAAATTAATTCGTTTCAAGAATTGCAAAAATACGAACAGCAATGGAAGGCAATAGTAAAGAAAAAATTGAAATTTATGTTGTTGTTTTTTTTGGCTTTACACATAGTTTTTTAGAATTTTACCTGTTTTTTTAAGGAAACTTTATATGCTAAATAGTCATTGTTTTTATCATTTAATTTAAGAGTAGCTAAAAACAATATTTTAAATCTAATTATAGCAGTTCTTGATCACAACAAATATGTCACAACAAAATATCGAAGCAAATAACTTCCAGCTGTAGCATTCTATAAATTCAATAATAATGAAACTATTATTTGTGCCATGATTAAAAGAAACAAAGAAACTATAATCTAACAAAAAACTACTGATATATTTCTTTCATATATTAGCTCAGAAAATTATCCTATTTAAACACGAATATTAGTTTTTATGTCCATATATGAGTTTCTTAACCCTTTGACACAAAATTTTTATTAAACATTTTTATACTTTTCTCATTACTTAATTATTTTAAGTCAAAATAAGTAAAAAAAATATTATATCTAGAATTTTAATAACTTATGGTAAGGAAATTCATCGTGAAATAGCAGTATCTTTTTCTGCATTAAAGATAAAATCCTCCAAACACGGCTCACATCCAAACAATAATATTTCAAATTTGCTCCTATTTGCAGTTATTTAGATTTAAGAGAAACAGGTATTCATAACTGAAATTGCTTTAGTTTATAAAATAAATTATTATTAAATTTTTGAATATGAACATAAAAAAATACAAAAATTCCAAACTACTTTTTTTTGGACTTTATATTTTAGCAGTAATATAATTATGGTAATCTAACAGATCTTTTTAATAATTATTAGACTGTTTTTATAATTAAAAATATATATTTTTGTTTGTAATTAGCGCTTCAGAAAAAAATATGTAAAAAGTACACCCGAGTCCCGTCTGCATCAAAGGGATAATATGTGATTTTATTGTTTCTTCTTAAATATGGAATTTTTTTTAATAACTGGAATATTTCAAAAGGAGTTGCTTAAGTAATTCTAATATTCCTTATGAAGCTTTCTTGAAATAATTAGAATGTAAATAATTAAATGAGTAAATTTAATTAGGAAAAGTATTAATGCTGGACCCGTGAAACATTAACTGAATACTTTCTTTAAATTCAATATTAGACCGAAATCTTTTCTTATCAGATCTGACAAAATACTAAACCCAAATGTAAAAGACTTCGTTAAAAATGATTAATCATGATATTAAACATTTACTGATTCAATTTAAAACCAAAATATCACTTTAAATAAATTTTAATTTCCTTCATAAAATAGTTAAGAATCTGAAAGCATTTGTTTTCGTACAAAAATATTGATTGTTTCAATTGTTTTTACAATCTGTGATTTTTTCTCCAAAATTTGCGTTATAATATTTGTTTTCTTCTTCCTAAGTGCTACTTTCGGACAACTATTGGATATTGGATACTGATTACGATGAATATTCTGTGGTCTACTCATGCCGTAGCGTACTACGTCTTTTCAAAGCAGGTAATTTTACTTTCTAATTATTTCCTGTTTTCAAAAAATAACGAATGTGTTCGACGATCGTGAAAAAAAAATATTTACAAAACACCAACCAAAATTAACATTTTACAAAAAACAACAACATTATTTTAATGCAATGCCTTAAAAAAACATTCAACGATTTAAAAAACAAATTTATTTAAAATATCGTACTTAAAAGTAACTATTTTTTTACTTGCTGTAGAAAAATTATGTCAAAAGAGAAAAAATTTTCATTTCGTCTAGCATTTAAAGCATTTCAGCAAAACATGATTTTGTTGAAATGTTTGAAATGTTATGTGAAAATGAATTTGCGAAAAAATTATGAAATGATAAATAACAAATTATTATGTTCAATTGTAAATCTATGTTTTAATTTTGGTAGGTTTTCAATGAATGAGAAGCTTATAGTTAAGGGGTCTGAGCATAATAAATTTAATAATAATTTTCTAATAATAAATATTTAAATTATTATAAAATAATACTTTGAATATTTATTATTAGAAAATAATAACAATAAATTAAAAAATAATCATAATAAGTAAGCAATAATCATAATAAAATAAGCAATAATAAATTAGATAATAAAGAATAATAAATAAAAATAATAACTGAAAAAATAATAAATAAAATAATAGCAAATAAAATAATAAGAAATAGAATAAAAAAGAAATAAAATAATAATAAGTAAAATAATAAGAAATAAAATAATAAGAAATAAAATAATAATAAATAAAATAATAATAAATTAAATAATAATAAAGTAATAATAAGAAATAATAAATTAAGTTAAGTTGTTTTAAAAAATATTATAATTACATCACATATTTTTATAAATGAATAAAACCTCATTCTGAAAAAAATCTTATTATTTGTGAATTTAACATATTTGAATTTCCAATATTAAAAAATACTACCATACAGATCATATGATCCAATTTTTATTAATTCATTTATAATTGAATGAATCATTCTATTTTCAATACTCTCTATTAATACACTTTTAATTTGCATTAATGTGTGTATTTTGCAGAATTTCTATGGATTCTATCTCGAGAAACAGCTTTAGAAGAAACTGCAAAGGAGAACATATATAAATTATTGGATGACAGCACTATTGATCGCAAAACTTTGGTTCATACCGAACAAGATTGTTAAGTTCAATTAGAATCGTTTTCAAGATAAAAAAGAAATTAATAGTATGAGTACATTAATTAATAGAATCCTATTAAATTTTGTCACTTATGATGTTGTCAAAAATCGTGAAATAATGAAATTTAATTAAAAAATGTTTGAATATTGTTATTGAATTTTAAACACAGTAAAACAAAATCTGAGGAAAGCTTATAGAAGTTAAAAAGCTTTAACAAAAAAGTTAAATAGAGATTGACAGAGTGTTATGTAAATACCACCCTTGACACATATTTTTAGAACCTTTCTATGGTTTGAAATTTAAAATATTTATACATATACAAATAGTAGGTGGATGCAAATTAATATTTAAGCTGGGACGTGATAAAAACGATGTTGAATCGCATGTGGTGAAGACAAGATTATAAACCAATTTGATTTCCTTAAGAAACTTGAAGGTGCTTTGATTAATAATCTTTTGACCTCTATCGGTTTTTCATAATTTCAATTTTTATGATTATGGTAAACAGCTTTTTAAGATTTCAATACAGCGATCCCCAGCAGTGATTCGCTCAGTTGCGATGATGCTTTTAATTCCTTCCTAGCTTAAATATTAATTTATGTCTCCGAATGTTTAAAAAGAGAAATAATTATATTTAATTTATTTTTCTGATTTGTAAAGTAGGAAGAAGTTGTTACATTTTGCAGTCAATAAAATATTAAAAAAATATTTTTAAATTAGTTGTATACTTTATAATACAACAGAAAGTAGATAATAATAAAGTGAGAACAAAAAAGTGTTTATTACTTTAGAAAGATACTGCAAATGAATTAAATTCCGTAGCGAAAAATTAAACAGGATGTCTCATAGTGACTACTCTTAATGCACATTTTCGAGTTTTTTGACTAAAATAAAGTCAAAAAAGTATACATATTGGAAATGGTAATTAATAAGAAAAGCACGCTATAGAAACCTCTAGAATCACTAGTGCAGAAGTCAGGATAAAAACGTAAGAACCATTTTATTGCCTAATGAATCTTGATGATTTTAATAATCACCTTTCAACTCATCTTTGTGCTTTCTGGCAATCAAACATACTTGATATTTTCAGATCCGAGTTCCCTACTAGTGATTTTAACAGATTTCGATCGCCATTTTTGCTTTTTATTGCTTACATACTAGCATACGACCCGTAATGTGCATACTATTTTTACTTCATTTATAACCAATATAATAAAAATATACATTAAATATGATCATTACTGAGCACTCTGCATGTTAAGGGGTTTTCAAACTAAAAAGTTAGAGCAGTATTTCATTCTAAATCTATCAAAATGTAGTCTTAAAACTAGCATAAAGAGACAATAAAAATTTTACAGGAACAATAATCTTTATTCTATACAACAAGGACAACATGTTAAACGTTAAATAAATAACTTAAATGTTACATTCTAGTAGCATCTGCCAGCAGACATAGTGATTATGATAATAAGTTAATGAACACGGATTCGTACAAGACATTTCAAGTGACATTCACTATTCCGTTGGATTTGCTGCAGCCTGACAATTGTCTTGAGGTACTGGTCTGAGACTTCTTCTATTAATGGCATTTGTGTCCAATACACTGTAGATTTGTTCTTTTATTTCTGGACTGAGGGTCCTCTGACGGGACAAGATCCACAAATTCTCTAAAATACAAATTAATGCAATGGATATTTAAAAATATATTCCTTCTTCGCACGGTTTTAAAAATAAATACAAACAACACTGGGGAACAAATTTTTGTTGCATTTATACAAATACTTCATCTTGCCTAACTCGGGAGGGTATCTAAAATTAGTTTTTGCTCCTAAAACTGCAGATTTTTTAAAGGCATTTTTAGTCTATTTTTTGGTGAAATGTAAAAGTTTTAAAAGGTTTTATATAACAGTGAATCGCGAAAACATACAAAACACTTCTAGGGAAGATAAGGAACAAAATTAGACGGGAACTCATGCCTGTATCTGATAACGTCGTCGTACGCGGCCAGGTGTGATTTCCCGTATTATAATTAATTCGGAAGCACACGAGGAAACAGTTTAAGATATTCAAGCACCCCTAGTGTCGAATGATGACATTTCTGGGCATAGTTTTCGATACAATTTTAATTCTAAAGACGTGCAATTACTCCCCTAGAAGTTTTTCACTCATGATGGCTCAAGGAACAGAGAGCTCACCTCCTAATGAAATGACCCGGGATCAAATCCCAGCGATGGCTAATTGATAGGAATTCCCAACCCGCTTCGCACCGACCGCAGTGCTGACGTAAAATATTCTCAGTGGTAGATAAATCATAGGTAAAAATCCCCTTGTCGTCAAGCTAACCGGGGGAGGTATTCGTATTTTTCCTTCCCGTGTAACATAAACAAGGGTTAGTTCCTTTAAAAAGTCTTCCACGAAGACTAGTTTGTCTGAATACTTGATTCAGGAGTTCCCTTGTCTTCGAGATTGAGTTCAAAATTACAAGGCTACAGAGTAAAACATTGGTAGTCGTGAACTCAAAATTGGGTCGGCTGTTCAACTGCGGTTATAAAATATTTATGTGATCCCTTGTTTTGTTTAACTTATTTAAACTTGCAAATTTCGACAAAGAATAGACTAAAAATATCATTTAAAACAATTGTAGCTTGGTGACAGAAACCAATTAACCCTTTTGAAGGCCGTGGTAAGTATACTTACCACCACGTTAATTTAGGTTTCCATTTTTCAATAACT